AGAATCCCTTGAGCTTAGGAGTTTGAGGTTGCTATGAACTATGATGGTGTTCCTGCACTCTAGCCTGGGCAAAAGGGCAAGACTCTGTCTCTTAAAAAAAAAAAATCATATGTTTAGACATATGACATATGGGGATATAGAAGGGGGAAAAAGTGAGAGAGAGAAAGTGAGAGCAAACTATTTTTCATGAAGTTAACAAATAGAGAATAAGGAACGTAGCCTTAATATTAACTTATAATAGACACCTGATTTTCCTTGGCCTGCACCGGCGTCCACATTCTGCCTTGTTGTGATTGAAAAGCAGTGACTGGATTGAACATACAAAATCGTTGTCTGCTTTCCTCAACATCACTTATCAATTATCAAAGCAGCCCATATACTCTCAGTGAGTTAAGGACAAACCTCTGCCTCACTGAACATACTAGAGAATTTACTAAGAACTTAGCTGCATTTCCACTACAGCTGCCCTTTCACATCCGCTTAAAGAATCTCCAGCTTCGTTCCTGGACTCGGGAAAAGCAGAGTGTGGAGTCCGTGCACGTCACCTTGGAAAGTGGCAGGATTTCCATCAGTTGGTTATCTGGGTCATATTCTTTTGGACCCATTTTCCTAGCATAGACCATGCTGACAACTTCTTCTGCATGTACCATCTGCAGCTCAAGCTAGTTAAAGGATCCAACAAAAACCGAGCTCAGAGAAACAGCTGCAATCCAAGTCAGGGTAACGGATGAAGGATGTGAGATTGCCCAGAAAGATTCTGTATCCTCTGCTCTTTTACTTAGTCCCCTTTGTCTGGACTTTCTCATGTGCTTGGTCCCTAGAGAGGACTGTGTTTACTATTACCTTTTCTACTTTTCCAGGCAAGGACTCTTGAAAGTTCCTTTGGCTCCCAGCAGGAACTTTGCATACTGTATTCATTGTCTCTCTCTTTATCCCTTCTTTGTAAGTCCTTCTCCCCTTTTCACAACTGCAGACTCTCAGTCCAAGCAAACCATCTTCTCTGATGTTCAGGCATCTTTCTAATCAACAGAATAAGCCCTCTAGCCTTGCTCCCATGAGACCAAGTCTAGCTTTATTGTGCGTTTTATGGACCTGAGCTTTGAGAGGGTCAAGTCGGTTTTTGCACGTGGCTCACCTCTGCACCACAGAACAGTGGGGGAAAGCAAGGAGGAATGCGTCTTCCACGGCTGCTACTGTGCCTTTGCCTTTGTTGCCGTTTGTAAGCCTTTTGGCCAAAAGAGATTTGGCTTTTATTTCTCACCAGAAGGGCATGGGAAGTAATTGTGGGTCCTGACTGTCTGACTTCATAGCCATTCTGAGGGCTTTGGCTTCAAGATCATCAAACTAAGAATCAATCTTAACTTTTTCAAATCTGTTGTGCAATAAGGCACACAGTGGAAAAACAAATGGATGGATGGATGGATGGATATTGGATGGATGGATATTTTCAATATTACCTTCACTAACTCAACATTGGTCAAGCACCTACTATGTTTCATGTTTTCTCTCCCTTTCTCGCTTTCTCTCTCTCTCTCTGACTCATCTCCTGATCTTGTGCACTGTCCTTCAGACTTGTCTTGAATCCAGTCCCTCCACTCCATCCCTCTCATTATCACCTAGCCCAGACCCTCCCTGGAGCTCACCTGAGTTTTCACAACAGCTTCATTCATCTCACGTACTAGCTATTGCCATCTCATCTTTGCCATGCCCAGGGTCACCTTTCTAAAGCAAAACACTGATCACGTCACTCTCCTGCCTTACAGTTTCCACCAGTTTCCAGTTGCCTACAAGATGAAATCCCCAAATCCTACCAGATGAAATGTCTTGTCCTGCAGACTCACCTGTCCCTGCTCCAGTCACAAATTCCACCCAATAATCATTTCTCCCCATCTCCTCCCAGCACCTTTGTTGCAAACACATGAGACTCCTTTTGAAAAGACAGACAGAATTTTAAGATGAATTTTAAAATCACAGTGCTATAAAATCTTATGTCTTCATTATATACCTACCGGAGAACAGACATGTTTTTTAGATTCTAAGTAATTAGACTGCCCAAGTGAAACTGAAAATTGATGAACCATGACATACCAATCTATTTGGTATATCACTGTTTACTAACTCCGTAGAAACTGGTCAAGAGCCACTCACTCTGCCTGAGCCTCACTTCTTTCCCCAGTGAAGGGGAGATTGTTTGTAAAGATGTAAGATCATATCAGATATTACCTAGCCTAAAAGTAGTTTTCTATCTATGCCTTCATAATATCCTCTGCCTGAGGCAAGTTATCTTTCCCTTCATGTGCAAACTTCTACTCATTTTTAAAGACCCAGGCGTCTCCTCTGTGGTTATGTTTCTGCCTCCCCCAGACTGAGTTAGACATTTTCTTCTTTGGGCTCCCACAATAACCATAGCATTTATTGCATCATGATATGAAATGATATTATTGTAAGATGCTTAAAGGCAAAAGCAATGCCTTTGTTCATTTGTACCTTGACTTAATAAGGTATAGCTTCTTAAAAATATTTGTAGAGTGTATCTACGAAAGCACGGTGCTGGGTTCAGCTGTCCAGTTCTCGAAGAGCTCTCAATTTTGAAGGCTATAAGCAAACAGAGCCACACAAGTAACCACAGTAGGAGTCTCAGTGGAATAAAGGTTCAAGTGTGGCAGAATCACTGTATGACGGCCACCAGCCCTTCCACCTGAGAACTCAGGGAGATCTGTGCTCATTCCTGAAACTCAGGGGTGGATATAGTTTCCCGTTCACTTCACCTGCCCACGTGTTTACTGTGCCTACCCCTCCTCAAACCAACAGAACTCTAAATTTTGGTGACAGAAAGCAAAAGAATTCTTCAGGTTAACCAAGAGCACCTGAGAGATTCCCACAAAGGAACAGATAGGGTGTTTCCATAATACAATTCTGAGTGGCAGTTATAGTTTTGTTTATAAACCCGAAAGCCCATAAATTACCAACAAATCAGCATATCTTTGAAGATGAAAACAAGCCATACCAAGAAGATAAAGGTTTGAAAATCACAGTGCTATAAAATCTTATGTTTTCATTATATACCTACCGGAGAACAGATATGTTTTTTAGATTCTAAAGTAATTAGACTGCCCAAGTGAAATTGAAAATTGATGAACCATGACATACCAATCTATTTTAACATGATGGGTGAGTAATATTTTCCCTTTTTTATGCCATAGGAGGCTATTCAATAAAACTTTGAATATAGGATTTTTTAAAGAAAAAATTGTGTAATATTATAAGCAATGAAAGCCTGGAAGTGCTCAATGCTGAATCCAACCGGGTGTAACTATCATCATAAGTTAGCATTTGGCAGCACCTTCTACATATATCACTTTTTTTAATTGAAAAATTCTATTTGATTGAAAAACTCTAATACTGAAATATCTTCCTTCCATAGCACTGATTGCAAATGAAATATCTCCCTTTAATTTTTGTCCTGATCAGAGGCATCACATTGCTTCCCTGATGACAAGCTGTATAGAACATCCTGGTCATGATCATTGTGGCTGCTATTCATTCCATGTGTATAATGTGCCAGGCAATGGGCTACAGGAGATTTCTCCTTGGCAAGTCCATTAGAAGCTTACATTTTTACATTTTTTTATTCTTGACATCACTGACATTTAATTCACTTCATACCCTGTATACCTGAAGCTTAGTGAGGTAAAGAGAAGATATCCAAGTGCTGCTTTGAGGGCTATTCTGGAGAAATGGAATTGGCCATTTAGAAAGGACAGAAATTGCATTTGAAATGACCCAACCTGAAACACAAAAAATATTCCATTTCTGTATCAGCCAAGAGCAGGCATCAGGCAGATGATGTGTTCCTGTGCATTGTACTCATACAGCAGAATTCCTGAGTACTTTGGTTTCCCAAGTTGTTCCTTGCTCCATATGTTCAAATAGCAGATGAGATTACCAGGGACCCCCCTATTTCTGTTCCCCTTTGGGGGATCCACAGCAGATTTTTTTTTTTTAAAGAGAGCTCTCCTGTCTGGTTCTGTTTCTCTATTTTCCAATCCAATATGATTATATTAAAGAACCAATAGGAAATACAACTCACCTGGGACAAACTGCCTAACAAGACTGACTGTGAATTTTATGAATATAATCATTTTCTCTTTCTTCAACTGTTTTAAAAGAAAATTGTTATCATATGTTATATCATCTGTACAGCCTCACCCACTTTTAATTATGTAAGATATTTACATTGCCCCAAAGTCAAATCTACAAAAATAATATCATCGGAGAAATCTAACATTTCTCCCATCCCTCTGTTCTATTTCCTCTATAGATAACCCTTTTTTATGGTTTACCACAGACGTCCTCAAACTACGGCCCGCAGGCCACATGCAGCCCGCCTAGGACATTTATCCAGCCTTGTGGGGTTTTTTGCCACCTCTGCCTGTCCTGCTTAGCAGCCAACTCGTCCCAGGGCCCACAGTCCGGCACTCCGAGGGTCTGAGGGACAGTGAACTGGCCCCTGTTTCAAAAGTTTGAGGACCCCTGGTTTACCATTTAATCTACACTTTTCAAAAATATTAGCAAATGCGTTTATATTTTAATTCCCCAACCTGAGATAAACAACAGGGTTCTAATGATTTTCGAAACACTTTAAAGTATGTGAAGTGTAAGGGTGGACACTGATAGTTGGCTTTTAGGCCAAGAGGCAAGAAATGTGATCATTTTGTGCCTGCTTTGCAAATTAATAATTTTGAATGTTTTACAACTTGTCAAATCTCAAGGCTGTGCTCTAAAGAGGGGACAGCAGTAAATTTGGATTAAGATATTAAACATTGAAAGAAGGCAACAAAGAGTTTGTCTGGAGATTTTAAGATAGATGAGTAGGGTTGGGCACTTCAATAAACTGGAGTATCTCCAAAAGGCCTTCCTACAGTAAACACGTTAAAAGCAAATTTCACGAGCAGAGTGACTTTATTCACAAACCCTCAAACCGCTTTTCCTTCTCATAGATCGAATTGCACAGAACATCATTAAGTCCCATTTGGAGACATGTCAGTACACCATGGAAGAGCTGCACCAGCTGGCATGGCAGACCCACACATACGAAGAAATTAAGGCGTATCAAAGCAAGGTACTCGAAGAACTCTGGGAAGCTATTCTGTGCTCACCCTATTTCTGCCTTTCTCAACCTTGGCACTATTAACGTTCTGAGCTGGGTAGTTCTTTGTTGTAGGGTCTCCCCTGTGAATAGTTGGATATTTAGCAGCATCCCTGATCTCTACCCACTGGATACCCCTGGTACCACCTTCACGCACAGTTGTGACGACTAAAAATGTCTCCAGATACTGCCACATGTTCCCATGGAGGCAAAACTGCCCTTACTGAAAACTACTGTCCTGTAGACTGTGCCTTCATCGGATGATTCTAGGAAATCTCATGGTGGCTTCTTGAGTCCAGGCAAGAAGCAGGTGCAATAGAATAACCACAGCAGTAATAATGGTCACAAGTCACACAACAAAAGTATAGAACACAGCATTCTAGTTTCTTCCCCCTTGCCCTACTTATTTAAAAAGGGCCCAGACAAAAAAAGGACAGCTCACCCCATATCATTATTATTATTATTATTATTGCTATGTTTTTGGATCCATTGAAGAAGTTTTTCGTTGTTGTTTTTCAGTATCTACATTACTTTATTGTGGAATAAAGATCCTTGGTTATGAGATTTACTTGGTGAGACGAAAGAAAAGGAGGGGAAAATAATAAGCAATATTTCTATTATTTTAGCCTCAGTATTTTGATAATTGTGGCATCTTGAGGTTCAAACAAGTCAAAATGTTATCTTAGGGAAAGAAAGAAAAGAAAATATCGCCCTCCCCTTTTAGCGGAATCATGTGAATTCCCACTTGGGCTGAGTGCCGGGCAGCAGCAGGAGGCGAGCCTGAGTATGTTACTGACTCTCCCAAGAGCTGTTTGCCCTGCGTGCATTGTGTCCTTTCTCTTGAAGTCCAGGGAAGCGCTGTGGCAGCAGTGTGCCATCCAGATCACTCACGCCATCCAGTACGTGGTGGAGTTTGCAAAGCGGATAACAGGCTTCATGGAGCTCTGTCAAAATGATCAGATTCTACTTCTGAAGTCAGGTGAGTAAGGAGGAGAGTCATGGGGGCGCCTATTTTAGACCAGGATGGGGTTAACCCTTAGCTCTGTGTTGACTCCAGGAAATCCTCCTTCCCATATGTAGCTGGTCTTTACCACCCACATTGTCAGCCAACTCCCAAAGGAAACTCTCAGTAATACAAACGCCCTGATAGTCATTTGTTCCCCTTTGAAGTCAAACACAATTTTGCTCATTGAAAGTGGAGCTATTAATTGTGGAGGTTGAGATACCCAGCTTGACAGGCAGTGCGAGTAATTAGCGTGTCAAGGTGGCTGAATTGCTGAGCTGGCGCTAAAACATACTCCTTGCCTTCTGTAAAGGGAAAAAAAAATGTGGGCTAGCTGAGCTCTGCCTCTGTGGTCATTTCCAATCATTTTAATGAGGATAGCCTGCAGCCAGTACACACGGGGGGAAGCTCCCCGAGCTCTAATCTTCCCCCTCCTTCCCTCACACACTCTGACACACATACACAATCGCTTTGGAAGTAGCTTGAGAAACTCTGCCTGTGATTGACTTTGCAGATGCTATTATGAAACGGGAGAAAAATTATTTGTCTTTCTTGGCTTCTTTTAAAATATAGAAAATAAGATCCATTGTCATGTTTCTACTACTCCTCATGGTCCTATGCCGTGGTAATAATAAAAACATATATGTATAAAATATCCGTACACGTTTATGTTTACCTGCAGTAATTAATCTTGTGAGATTGGAATTATTACTTCCATGTTACAGAGGAGGAGGCAAAGAGTCGAAGAAGTAAAGGGCTATGTTCAATGTGACAAAGCCAGTGCACGGCAAAGCTGGGTCTTGAACTTGGGCCAAATGTTAATTGTTCTGCTACTCATAAGTTGTTGCTGCCTCTTTACCAAATGATGCCAGTTGGTGCAGACCCCGACCCAAGCATCAGCTTGATGTTTCAGTTATCTATTGCTGTATATAAACACAACCCTGAAACTTAGTTAAAGGAATAACAATTTATTTTGCTCTCAAAGCTACAATTTGGGCAGGGCTCCGTAGGGTTGTGTCATCTCTGCTCCACATGGTGTTCACGGAGGCGCCTTGACTGAGGGCGGGAGGATCCCCTTTTGAATCAGACATGACTGACAGGTTGTGCTGGCTGACAGCCTGGAGTTCAGCCAAGGCTCTGGGATGGGACCTCAGTTCCCCTCCACAGACTGTTTGGACTGGCTCACAGCATAGTCACTAGAGGTGGAAAGCTAGCACCCTGGAGGAACAAGGCACAGTGTGCTAGATTTTCCTGACTTGCCTCAGAGGTCACTTGGGGTTACTTCCACCATATTCTATCCATCGAGGCAGTCAGAAAAACCCACCTGTATTCAAGGGTAGGAGACATAGTTCTACTCCTTGAAAGGATTGATAAGGTCCTAGAAAACATGTGGAATTTAAGGTAATCTTGACCCTCTTTGAAAATAAGATCTGCCTCACCTTGAGCTAAATTCTCTAGATGGCACTTTCCTTATTTGTAAAATAAATAGATGAACTAGAAACAATGAATTCCAAACTTACAATTGCATCAGCAGCATCAAGGGAGATTATTAACAGTTCAGAGACATAGACATCATCGCAACCCATGGAATCCAAATCTCCTGAAGGGGAACCATGTTCGTTGTATTTCTAAGACCCAGATATGACCAACTCACGGGCTGACATGTGGGAACCACTGAACCATATAATCATTAGCATCTCCTTCCAGTATAAAAATGTTGACCCTAGTATAAAAGGCAGGGTACTTGATGTGAAATTTACTAGGTGGAGAATATAAATATCTTAACACAATAACTAAGAAAATGCCGTGAAGGCTGTATCAGCCAGTTTCATGAAAATATTTCCAATTGTATATAAAACCAGCACATTGTACCCCACGATTGCATTAATGTACACAGCTATGATTTAATTTAAAAAAAAAAAGGACAGGGTACTTAATCTCCTTAAACTCATCCACAAAATGGGGCTAATGAAATAAGCCTGAAATAGTTATTGCAAGGAGTAAACATGATAATGAATGTAAGGGACCAGAGAAAGTGTCGTCAATATATAAATAATAGTCAGAAAAGCATTACTTCAATTAATATTTACGAATCCTCTGTTATGGGTAAGCTCCTGTGCTAGGTGACATACCCGAGGGAAAGCAAAGAGAAATCAGTCAACATACATAGCAAAGAAAATCAAACATAGCAATAAATACAAAGAGGTGGCATGTAAGAAATGCACTAAAGACGCAAATTTGTGGCTTCTGAGTCTGACTGCCACCTTCTATTACTGTGTGGAGGCCAAAGCCCATTTCTCTAAAACGTGGGGAAACTATACAACAGCACTTCCTCCGCATGTTAATAAACGTTCAGAGGAAAAAACAAAGGCAGGAAACAAATTCATTCAATAAACATTTGCTAAGCAACTACCATGTGTCAGAGACTTGCCCTGAGTCTTGGAGATGCAAGAGTGAACAAAATAATCACAATTTCCTATTGCTGCAGACAAGGTCCCTGCCCTTATTTTATTAATAGTGCATTTAAGAATTGAAACTGACTTTAATATTAGTCAAAAAGTAGAGAGAAATGTATGTTTTCGAAAAAAAAGGTTGCTACCCTTCATTTTAACTACCTGTAAACTACATTTTCTGTTTAATTCCTCACATAAGTATCAAGAGAACTTTATTTCTAATATGGTTATTTTAAAGCAGGGAATACTGCAGGATTTCTGTATGTAGGTGTCTCTGGGTGTGCCTGTGTCTGTGTGTATGTGCATGAGTAGTACATATGTGTTTTAAAGTTCTGGAAAGTCTCTTGACCTGTGCATAGTAATAACCTCTTTATTGTTGGATATATGTACGTATCTTAAATTTGTTTTAATCACAGGTTGCTTGGAAGTGGTTTTAGTGAGAATGTGTCGTGCCTTCAACCCATTAAACAACACTGTTCTGTTTGAAGGAAAATATGGAGGAATGCAAATGTTCAAATCCTTAGGTGAGTTTCCCTTTAATGAGGACGCAATTTTACCAGCTACCATCAGTTTCTCCACTTAGATTGAAATTGGTCAATGAAATGCCTCGATTCTTTGATGTGAACTTGTGTTTCCTTCAGTAAGAAATGGGCCGAGTAAGTCTCCAGGCCAGGTAACCCTCTCTTGATCTTACAACTGTGGCTTCTATTATGAAGGGAAGGAGAGGACTGTGGACTCTGTTGAGACCAGACCTATTGAGACTTTATTCAGAAATAAATAAAGATTGGTGCTAAAAGAGCTCAGCTCATTATAGGTCATTCTTTGTAGAATTAGCCTTTCTTTTACCTCCTAGTTTCCTGTTTCACAAAATATATTATGTAGACAGACCACTAGTGATCCGTGGGGGTGACTTCTGGTAGTTTTATATAAATTCATAATCATGAGTTAAGGTATTTAATTGAAAGACGTGCTCCCATCACTTGTTTCTCACCAGGAACACTTAATTCATGAAGTTCTGGGGAAGCACAGACAGAGTCAATGCCAACCTATCCAAAATGATCCTCAGCCTGTCCTTGTGGGAGGGCACTGAAAGAGGCTTTGGAAGGGTCATGTGTCATCCCATCCAGTCATCAGTGCATGACGGCATGGCTAAGAAGAACGTTAACAAAGATGGGCTGATGCCAGGAAAGTTTTTAGTGATTGATAGTGTCATTTGTTCCATATCCTGCCCACAGACACCAAAGAAGGCCACTGCCCTTTCACCTCTTGTGCTGTTAGTTGATATGGCAGCCAACAGCAAGTCCATCAGGGCTGGCAATGTTTCCTGTCTACAGTTGATACACATCCATGTCATCTCCAGGGCTAGATTTTCAAGAAAGGAGGAAAAGCCTTGGCAAGCAACCTCAGTATATTTCCACTTTCATCAAATAAACATTTATCAGGGATCAGTGTAGAGGTGCAACATTATTTTGCCAAAATTCACGATGGCTAAGCAACTGACCCGTGAGTCATGAATTAGAAGGTAAAAATAAACTCTGGCTCTTCAGTCAAATTTCCAGAGCAATTACCATACTTAAAGATACCTCATCTTTGTTCCATAAGATGTTTCTAACATCTTAGTTTGAAGCCTGGGGACATCCTACATTGCAGGTTTAATGCCACTAAGATTGACAATCCTTAGCCCCTCTCTGTAATGTTTTAGATTTTCTGTGAATCTATCGCTATTATTAAAGATCCCCAAATCACATATTTAAGATTTTTTTAGTTGAAAATAATTTCAAATTTATAGGGTTAGATTCAGGTTATGTATTGCCAGTCAGATGTCATGATGGACAGGCACCGTGTCAATTTGCCCCTCATTGGTAATGTTGATTGCAATCCTTGTGAAGATGTTGCCTAATTTCCTTATTCTATATTGAGTATCACATCATTTTTTTTGTAGTTAGGAACTTATAAATGTCTCTTCTAGATGTCCAGTATACAAATCCTTGAATAACTTCTTGATTATGAAACTTGCCTTACATATGGCTTATTCCAAGTTCAAGTATTTTTATTAAATTTTCCTTCCTTCCTTATAGGTTCTGATGACCTAGTGAATGAAGCATTTGACTTCGCAAAGAATTTGTGTTCCTTACAACTGACAGAGGAAGAGATTGCTTTGTTCTCATCTGCTGTTCTGATATCTCCAGGTAGGGAGGTCTCAGATCCCTTGCCCTTTTATTAAATTGGCTTTACTATCTTTAACATTGATTACACCTACCTAAGTCAAATGTTCAGGGGAAACATTAAAAAACGGTATTTTCTTTAGCAAGATTTTAACATTTTTGGACAATGAAAAATTAAAATAATCGATTATTTAAATAATGAAATGATTTATTAAAATAATCCATTTTGTCCCAAAAGCAAGAGTAGGGCGTATGATAGGGACCACTCTGGATTCAAATAAGCAATATTTTTCCTTAGCTAATAATGAAGGCATAAGTGGCCTGAGTTACAGCTAATTCTATTTTGACTTAAGAATAAAGTGAATAGGAAATACGTGTCTAGTAAGGTGACCCTATTCAGAATAGGGATCTTAAATAAGTAAAAGGTACACTTTCTCCTCTTTAAATACCTCTTTCATTGGCTTTTGCCTCCCAGATAGTGTTGGTGTGCTCATTTCAGGCAAACACTCATGTCTATTTTCTTAGCAATACATTGAGCCTCGAACAATATGGGGGTTAGGGGCACCGACGCTCACGAGGTCAAAAACTCCAGTATAACTTCTTATTCTCCCCAAATTTTGCTAATAGCCTACTGTTGACCATAAGTATTACCAATAACACAAGTAGTCGATTAACACATACTTTGTATGTTATATGTATTATACATTATGTTCTTGCAATAAAATGAGGTACAGAAAAGAAAATGTCATTAAGAAAATCATAAGGAAGAGAAAATGCCTTTACTATTTCTTAAGTGGAAGTGGATCATCAAAAAGGTCTTTCTCCTCTAGTCTTTGCACTTAGTGGGAAACGCTGCCTATGGGTGGACCCACACAGTTTAAAGCCACGTTGTTCAAGGGTCAACCGTATCACAGCTTTAAAAGGAGGTGAGAACAGTAGAGGGGAAAATGTCTCCTGCTAATGCCTGCTGGTGGAAAGGAAAGAATCTCAGACATGGATATGGTCATTCTAGTACCGACACTGTCACCATTTATCTGTGAGACCTTAAAGACCAGGCCCCCCAGAGCTTCAGTTTCCTTATCTCTAAAATAAGAGGGCAGGACTCAGAAATAATTAAGACCTCTACCAGCTCTAAAATGCAATAAAATACCAAAAAGTTTTCAAAGAAGTCGAGGTGAGACTCTTAGGGATCAACTAGAATTGTAGCAATTAAAATACTTTTAAAAGCATATACCTGGTTGAAATGTAAAACAAGTAATATAATCATAACATCTAATCATAATAATATAGTAACAATGATATGATAATAAATGCATAGATGAGAATTCAATCACTTAGCTGTCTGTATGGTTAGATTTCAAGTCAAGGAGTACTGATATCATTAACAGCGCTCTCTCTCTCTTTTTTTTTTCTTTTTTTTTTGAGAGAGAGTCTCACTCTGTTGCCTCAGGCTAGAGTGCTGTGGCATCAGACTAGCTCACAGCAACCTCAAACTCCTAGGCTCAACCAATTCTCCTGCCTCAGGCTTCCGAGTAGCTGGGAATACAGTCACACACCACCACACACAGATAGTTTTCTAATTTGTTGTGGAGATGGGGCCTTCCTCTTGCTCTCGCTAGTCTCAAAACACTGGCCTCAAATAATCCTCCTTCTCCACCTCGCAGAGTGCTAGGATTACAGGTGTGAACCACCACTCCCAGCCCCTGGCTAATTTTTATGATTGAAAAACTCATTCCTTCTGTAACCCATTTCTCTCTATAGACTAGATCTCCTTTCTTATATGCTAACATATTTTTCAATAAGGCTGGAAGAAATTAATCTCACCTGTGACGTAAAATTACATTTCTTATCTATGACATGTCATGCTAGCTACATTTGCCAATAACACCAACCTCTTTATCTTTTTATCTATTCCTAAGATGATCCTCAGTGGTCTTATCAGAGTTTTTTTTTAATTTGCTGCTATTTTTTATTTAACCACTTTATCAAAAATGGAAATTAGTTCTCACATGGAGTGTTTTTACTAACAGTTTCTTTTATGGCTCTGTCTAAAATCAAGCTGTTCCTCTGGGCCTTTTTTTTTTTTTAAACCCTAGAAAGTTTCCCAGGACTGGAAGCACAAAGATAGAGAGAAGTGACAAGAAATACTTATTTCTGATAGCAACCATATGCCAAATAATTTCTCATTGCATGTGATTATTTTCATTGAGAACACTTCAACAGAAAACTAAATCTAAGCCTCTGGGTCTCTGGATGAAGGAGATGGTTTTACTCTTGTTCAGAGGAAGTGTTAGAAAGAGTCACTCTCCTCTTTGGCTATGTTTGTGGCAAGTCAGTAAATGTCACGCAGTAAATATTTAAGACATGAAATGTTAAACCTGAATGATCTGTGAAAATGACTGCCCAGAAGGAAGGCTAGCCTGTTTCTTATGAGTTAGACATCCGCTGAGCTGTTTAGCCTTTTTCTAGAAAGAACATACTATTGCCATCAAATTCTGAGGAGTTTGGAAGCACAAGATTTGGCTTACTCTACCTAATGGGGAATCTGCCCATGTTGATAGCAGACCCCCCCCCCCCAGAGAGGCTTCAGCAACCCCAAATACCTTGTTTGGGACCACCCTGGCTTACTGCCACACTCAGAAAGAGAGGGGAGACAGATCCAGACCGTGTAGGCTCCATCTCCTGCTAGACCCCCCACTACCACCTTCTCCAGGTTCTGAACATAAGAGCCACTGTCTATTCAGCTCCAAATGGCTTGGAGAAGGGAGAAAGAGAGAAACTTAATTTATTCTGATTGACAATTGTCACTGAAGGCTTTTTGTACTCACTTACGTAAGGGTTTCTTAACTGTTGGCTAGACTTGTCCTTGTCCTGTCTAAAATTACAGAATCAAGTTTCTCACCTGACCTGACCGGTGTTCAGGAGGATCATGTCCAAGTTCTTTTCCATGAGTGTTTGTTCAGCAAAAGATTCTAGATGCCTCTTCATTGAAGGTTCGACTGAGGCATTAATCCTGAGCTGAATTTTGTCACCATGGCACATAAAGCTTCTAGGAAGAAAGGAATTAGGGAGAGAAGGAGAGAGGAATGGAGGGAAGGGAAGTGGTGTGGGGGAGAGGAAAAGAGGGGGGGAAAAAGTAAAAAAAAGAGAGAAGGAAGAAGGGAGGGAAAGAGAAAAGGAAGGAGCGATTATCATATCTACCATTTAAAAATTAAATATGTGCTCGGCACCTGTAACTCAGTGACTAGGGCACCAGCCACATACACCGAAGCTGGTGGGTTCAGTCCCAGCCGGGGCCTGCTAAACAATGACAACTGCAACCAAAAAATAGTCAGGCGTTGTGGCGGGCACCTGTAGTCCCAGCGACTCAGGAGGCTGAGGCAAGGGAATCTCTTAAGCCCAAGAGTTAGAGGTTGCTGTGAGCTGTGATGCCACTGCACTCTACCCAGGGTGACATCGTGAGACTCTGTCTCAAAAATAAGTAAATAAAAATAAAAATAAATAAATAAATAAAAATTTAATATGGGAAAATAGGACTCAAGAGTAAATTTTGGAAATTGGTTCATGTTTATGCCACATACATTATAGCATAGCTTCAGCCTCTGATGATAGAACATAGTGAGAAAAGGAAACAGGATCCTGAATACCAAAAATATTCCTATATAATAGACTTTCCTTACTTCTATAATTCATTTTCTTCATAAATTTCTAACTTCTAAAGAACATATAAGCATAAATCCAAAGAGGGAATGAGAGATGTAGATCGTCATAAACAATACGAAACAGTAAAGGAGTTTGTTTGAACCATTGTGTTCTTCTCTCCAAACTGATTTCCTGTGCCATTAGACTGTGAATTCCTGTCATCGTGGTTATTGCTTTTATTTATGATTTACATAAATAATGACATATCTTCAGAAGCAATTTAGGACTAAGTGATTTGAAGTGAGTCTGAAACTCGACACTCAAAGGCCGTTGGTAAAATAAAACAAAGCTTATGTTCTCTGTCCTTCTTATCCAATTCCTTTTCCTTTTTTCAGACCGAGCCTGGCTCATAGAACCAAGGAAAGTCCAGAAGCTTCAGGAAAAAATTTATTTTGCACTTCAACATGTGATTCAGAAGAATCACCTGGATGATGAGACCTTGGCAAAGGTAGGTCTGCAGATCACGGAACCATGACTACCACCAACAGAAGGCAGTGGGCAAAGGAGGCCTAGTTAGGAACCAAGGGAAATTTGTCAGCTACGATTTCTGAAAGGTACCAAAAACTGCATGAATTTTGAGGTGTGCATTTTCTTTCTTTATTTATTTATTCATTTATTTTTGAGACAGAGCTTCACTCTGTTGCCCAGGCTAGAGTGCCATGGCATCAGCCTAGCTCACAGCAACTTCAACTTCCTGGGTTCAAGCAATTCTCCTCCCTCAGCCTCCCAAGTAGCTGACACCCAGGTTCCCACCACAATGCCTGGCTAATTTTTCTATTTTTAGTAGAGACAGGGTCTCACTCTTACTCAGGCTGGTCTCCAAATTCTGACCTCAAACTCCTGCCTCGACCTCCCAGAGTGCCAGGATTATAGGTGTGAGCCACCATGCCCAACCTGAGGCATTCATTTTAAGAGAGACTAGTTAAATTATAATGGATAGAGAAGGTTTCATGAGAACTGAAGCTTGGAGCAAGAAAACAAGCCTTTGAAATTCATATTCAAAGAAAGACAAGATTTTGTGCCAGTTCTGGTGTCAGGTCTGGGCAAAAGTTAAGAGTGGGCAGATATTTACTGAAAATAAGGAAGAACAATCACATGATGAGAATTGTTGAACAGAGGTGTAGATGCCGCTTGAAATAGTGAGCTCCCTGTCCCTGGTCAGATTCTGGGAGCTGCTGCCCTGGTCATCTCCTAGGCGTGTTGTGAATTGGCATTCCTACTCAGAGTAGAAGATTACACTGATGATGTGTAGATTTTCCTTCAATGCTAATATCTTAATGCAGGGTTTTCCCTGAGGTTCTTTCGAAATGGTGAAGTATCCCACAGGCAAAACACATGCACCATGCCACCAATTAATTTCTGGATTCGGCTTAATTCAGAATCATGATGTTTAAGAAGAGTACTAAGAACAATTGTTTACCAAAGTACAATAATCACAAAAGGAAGAACTAATTTTCAATGATTGATACTCAGCACTATTTTATACCTTAAGAACTGGAGTTTTTTAGAGAGGAAGGAACTAGGAAATGGAGCTTATTCTTGGATAAAGATGATAGGAATCCTACCTACTCTTCGTATTTTTATCATTAAAACCTTCCCACTCTGCCCTTGAAGTTTTTTACTTTAAAAAGGGGGAGGGTAAAGACTCTATTTGAAGACACCATCAGATTTTACTTTGCACATACAGTGCACTGCTATAAAAAAAACCCCATGAGTTAAATATGCCGCTTCATTATGGTAACATTTTGTTAAAATTAACGCATCACTAGGAAGAACATTTCCACGTGGTGGAGTGATAGTTCTCTTTGACGTAGCTTTTCACTTATTATGTGGTCAAGGAAACATCACCTGCTCTGCACCTCTGGTCTCTCCCAGTCAAGAGCAGAACTTCGACACGTTTTCAGATTCACTGGGCAGAAAAGACGGCAATGGGAACATATGCCTGTGTCTCGATAGTTGTTAGGTATCGAGTGATATGTGCATAAATACATCTGGCTAATTAATGTGGGGGAATGTTTCTTGCATTTGGGATCTCCCTGAAACTTTGATCCCCATATTTACCATCCTAAAAATGAGGTCTTAAAAAACCCAGAGTTAGGTGAAAGTTTTGCTCTTCTGCCAAAGGGGTTGTCTGCTAGCCTGAAAACCATGGTCTCATCATCTATAGAATCAGGAATAGAATTTCTTTTCCTGTACAGATGTGTTGTGAGGTTCAAATGAGAGATACACCACCTCAATTCTAACACACCGTAAAACTGTGATTATGAATCCCTTGGAGGGTAACATGTTCATGCTTATGTTCCTTTCTACCTCTGAATGTCCTGTGGGTGATTTGAGGAATTTGAGATAGAAAGAAGACAGAGAGATTGAAGAATGAAATGTATTTGAAGGCAAGGAGAAAATATTGCAACATCAACTATAGATCAGTTTAACTCTGTTTTCTCCCTCTTTAGTGAGAAAAGTACACAAGTCAGTGCTTCTCTTATAGAGAGGTATACTGGGCTGCGCCTGTGGCTCAAAGAAGTAGGACACCGGCCCCATAAGCTGGAAGTGGCGGGTTCAAACCCAGCCCCGGCCAAAACTGCAAAAAAAAAAAAAAAAGAAAAGAAAAAAGAAAAAAAGAGATGTAATGCTGCAAAGCTGAGAATGCATTAGAAGAGGATGATTTCTTGTAAAAAAAAAAAAAAAAAAATCACTGTAGCCAGATGACAAAGCCTGGTTTCCAAGGCCATGTGTAGACACTGGGTTTTTGTATATACTCTTTCTTGTAGCAATCATCATTTTAATGGGATGTTATTCGAATGAATGCAGGCTCACCAGGAAGCCAAGTGAGAACTGGATTCTCACTTATCCCAGCTCTGAAATCTGTGGCTTCGGATAAGTCACTCCACTTGTGTGAGTCTCACACTCATCAACTGTCAAGAGCTGGAGGAGGTGGGAGTGTTGAGTGAGTTCCTTTTGCTCCTGACTGATTTAACACCCAGAAGACAAACCAACCACTAGTGTATAGGACACAGTTGCATTGAATTCTCCAGAAGGAACAGTTTTATTTAAACACTAGACAAACTGTTCCACTCCACCACAGATTCTTCTCGTCTTCTCAGAAACGTGCCTTGTGCCTTTGTAGTCATGGGGTTCTTCTGCCTCTACAAGTCCTCTAAAACAGTGACGATCACCCTTGATGCTCCTCATTCATAGAACTCTTGGGGAAAGCCAGAAAACAGTGTGAAACCTGTCTCAGAAAAATCCACACCTACCCAAAATGTTGTGTTCAAATCCAAAGAATCAGGTTAAATTTGCAGTAGTGGGGGGAGGGGGATACACCTGCTTCCTATGTCATGTTCAAAATACTATTTCTCCCACCAACCAGTTCAACCCTGAGCAGGCGTTACAGACATCAGGTTAGAGGTACAAGGATCACACACAGTCATTGAACCTCCTCCTGAAAGCACAGTCTCCAATACACTTTCTCCGTGTCCACTTCCTGAAATTAAAGTTCAGGTAGCAAGCTTTGTACCTTTGGCCAAACTTCAACCTTCGGAAGGTTTGAAAATTCAGGGATTCTGTGTCCCTTAACTAGAAGATTTCAGTCCCTCTATATTTTTCTGGCATGGAGTTTTTTTTGAGGGGAGGAGTGGTTAGGGCAAAACACACGCTGTTAAATTTGGCTTGGCGCCCATTAGCACAGTGGTTTATGGCGCCAGCCACATACACTGAGGGTGGCAGGTTCAAACCCAGCCCAAGCCAGCTAAACAACTGTAACCAAAACATAGTTGGGCATTGTGGGTGGCACCTGTAGTCCCAGCTACTTGGGAGGCTGATACAAGAGAATAGCTTAAGCCCAAGAGTTTGAGGTTGCTGTGAGCTGTGACACCACAGCACTCTCCTAAGGGTGATGTAGTGAGACTCTGTCTCCAAAAAAAAAAAAAAATCTAGTCTCCTCTTCTCATCAGTATAATGCTGACACGTAGCGTATTTAAAATAAATCTTCAGTTTTATAACAAACTTGCTAGTTGAATGACCTGGACACATGATTTAACCTGTCCATTCCTCAGTACTCATTTATATAACGTGACTACAGATAGTACCAATGCCATGCCCGTCGCCTCAAAGGGTGTTTATTTCAAAGACTAAATGAGATAAAGTACAAGTAAGCTGGGCAGCCTATAACAGGTAAAGTGGAGGTACCATTGCTATAGTTGTTGTTCTCGACAGAGAAATTTTATTTGAGCAGGGAAATGTGTATCCAGGAGATGGTATTTTTGAGCTAATCACTGATGCGCAAAAACTATTTCACAAGAAGGAAGTTGGGAGGCTGGCCATGTGCAGGACGGCTTTCTAAGGGCTGGGCAGTGGCACGGAGGTAGAAAAGCATAAGGTACATTCAGGCTATAAATAATAGTCAGGTTTGGCTAGATCCTGGATTTGAGAAGCCAGGAAATGAGATAACACTGGTCACTTTCACTAAAACTCATGAAAAAATACATACATATATATTTAAAATAAATATACATATATATTTTTAAGCCCCATATGACTAGAGGAGGCAGCCCATCTGTTCCCTGGGCTTCACTTTTCTCGTCTGGGAAATGAGTAGGTTGGGCTGCCTGGTCTTTAAGGTCTCTTCAGTTTCATATTCTTTGACTCCCAAAAGGAGAAAAACAAAGGTTCCGCCTGACTTCTTCTTCCGTCCTGCCGTGCTCAGTCTGGTGTGACTATGTTAAGTACTCTTTCAATGCTTTACCGTTACAGTAAGAGGAGAAACAGATTGATCTTGCCAAGTCTTGCAGATCCGAATTAGAACTCCGTGCACTATGGTCATGGGTGATGGTCCACCCCCAAAGCTAAAGTGTGCAGAGTCTGTGAAGCCTGGGCTCGGAGGGCAGCGTCCCTGGCAGGCTCCCGGCGGGAGATGCACCTTGCGCTCTGGGTGCTGCTGTGACTCACGTGCACAGGCTTATTTCCTGGGGGCAGAGCCTCGTGAAGATTGGGAAGCCAGGAAGCTCTTTCTCCACTCCATCAGGAACAGTAGGGCCACTGCAGGGAAAGAGAAACAGGCAGTTTGGACTGTAAAACTGAGGCTTCTGTTCCCAGGCTTCCTCTGTTAAAGTCTCTAGATCTGCCTTTCTTCCTGCCCCGACTGTAGGGGCAGAAGTTGTAGGAGGAGGAGTCAGTCCACCTAGGGCCAGGCTGTGGTATATTCACGGCCAAGGGCAAAGCTGGGATCCTGCTCATCTGGCCCCCAGGTGCACATGTCTAGCCCTTTCCTAAATGCAGCCAGAGCCGTGTTTGATGTTGGCCATGCCCCATCCAGCTTCTCCCTTTGTGCCTCCAGGGTAATTAGTATCATGAAAGACTGTTAGAAAGCCTGTTTGCTTTTCTCAGCACTCCTAGAGGTATGTTCTTGCTCAGAGCTTATTGAGAAGTTTGAGAATAGCAAACCCTATA